GGCCTGATATAGGATAAAGAGCAGATTTGTAAGACTTGTTTTAAATGGGGGATGGGACCAAAGCAAGGGCCCAGCCAAACAGACCCCTGGACACAGAGGGAAAGATAACATCCAAATTGCTAAGAATAAGGATAGTAGTGTTTATCCTGGGGTTGGCTATATTTTGAAGGCTCATTTAGTTCTCAGAGCTGGTTGGTAGTGTTGTTGAGGGTTAAAAAGGTATTTTTGTACTACTCAATATCAGAGTAAATTCAGAAAAGTCCTCACTAGTAAACTTTGGTGAGAAATATTTGTTTTTACTTTCATCAGTATAATTTGGTTTTTATGTGGCCTGTTTGATTGTTGTTTTTTTTTACATATACAATTGATATTAGTAAATAAATAGGGACAAGAACATGGAAAGCACAAAAGGAAAGTTCAGAAGCACAAAAGTTAGCACAAGGAATAACATTTGTCTAATTGGAATCCCCAGACTGATGAGCAAGGGAAAACTAGATTCAGAAAACATAACCAAGAAAATAAGAAAATGAAAATTTATGCCTATCATATACCCAAAAGATACACATTCATACAACAAAGACATCTGTTCAACTATGTTCATAGCAGTGTTTGTCACAAAAAGACAAACATGAGCCTTCATCCAGTAGCTGGTGGAAGCAGAAGTAGACACCCACAGCTAAACACTAAGCTGAACTACTGGAATCCAGTTGCAGAGAGGGAGGAGTGATGAGCAAAGGGGTCAAAACCAGGCTGGAGAAACCCAAAGAAACATCTGACCTGAGCAAGGGGGATCTCATGGACCCCAGACTGATAGCTGGGAAACCAGCATAGGACTGATCCAGACCCCTTGAACGTGGATGTCAGTTTGGAGGTCTGGTTAATCTATGGGGCCTCTGGTAGTGGATCAGTATTTATCCCTAGTACACAAATGGACTTTGGGAGCCCACTTCACATAGAGGGATACTCTCTCAAGCCTAGACACACAGGGAAGGACCTAGGCAATGCTCCAAATGATATGACAGACTTTGAAGATTCCCCGATGGAAGGCCTAACCCTCCCTGGGGAGCAAAAAGGAGATGGGATAGAAGGTAGATGTGAGTCAAGGGAGGAGGGGAAGGAGAGGGAACTGGGATTGACATGTAAAACAAGCTTGTTTCTAATTTAAATTTTTTAAAAAGGGAAAAAAGAAATCTATACCTACATACACTGTAGTAAACCTACAGAGTGCTAAGGAGAAAGAGAATATGTAAAAGCAACCAGTGAGATAGAAAGATCACCACCAACATTAGTTCACAAGATACTTCCCACAGCAACGATGAATACACAAACACAACAGGATTCAAGGTGTTAGGGGGTGTGCCTGTCATCTCTCAAGAACAGAAGTTAAATGAAATGTTTACAGGTTTTTGCAAATCACTGAAAAAAATGCATTTCAGCATAAAGCCATAGAGAAAGAAGATACTTACCAACACATGTGACAAACATCAAATACGCATCTAGAATATATTAAAAAGCCTAATGTTCAATTTTAGACAAGATACTACATTACAAACTTGAAAATGAAAAGCCAGGGAAATATATGTTGATATCACACTTACATTTTATTTGTAATAGATTCTCAATGAAATCTGACAAGTGGGCATGGTGTCATGGACCTATAGTCACAGGTGCAAGGGAAGGTTTGAAGAGGGCAGCAAGTATGAGGAAGTCTGACTACACCAAGTAGTAATGAGATATACAAATTTTCATAACAGTTAAGAGGGCTATAAAATATGGCCATTTTTGGAAAATAATCTTGCATTATCTTATAAAATGCATCATTTGCATAGCATATAATATAGAAATTCTAGCAAAAGATAACCCTTGCATAGCATACATGTAAATAAATTGTGTACAATGAGCTGAGCATGATGACACATGCCTGTAATTCTAGCACTCAGATAGCTGAGGTAGGAGGCTTGTTGGAAGTTTGAGCTAGCTTTAGCTACATAGCAAGACCTTACCTCGATAACTAAGTAAAATTCTATGGTAATGCTTATAGAAGTGCACTTGTAATAGCAAACATTGGTAATTCAAACAGCTGTCGCCATGTGAGCAGATTAATAAATTGTAGCAAACTCAGAGAATGATCAAAAGGAAATAAAATCACACATTAGATTTTAATGAAGTATGTCATAGGCTCTGACTATGTCCAGTGGTAAAGAGACAACTCTGCCCCTATGGAACTCACAATTTTAAGTGGGGAGTGCGGAAGGGGCAGAGAAGAAACACTTAGGCATGAATGTTAAGCATTTAATCTCTTAGGTAGGTAATTTCTGTGATATGTTAGAAAATCACAAGTACTACTAGAAACAAAACAAAATAAAAGATAAGGAGACTGAGTTCCAGATGTGGGGACATATGGACAGGACAACATCAATTCAGTAATGAGGCTGATTGAGAAGGGAAGATGTTACCAAAATTTGTAATGAAGGAAGTAGAGATACACACACACACACACACACACACACACACACACACACACACACACATTGAGTACTCCCAATCCTAGAATACAAAATCCACAAGGCCCCCAAATTTTTCAGTGCCAACATAGTGTCATGTGGAAAATTCCATGGCTGACTTCATTGAGCAGGCTGCAGTCAAAATATGGGTTCACTAAAAAATACTATATAGGGGGATTTTTAAGCTACTCATGGAGACACACATCTAAAACTCCAGAATGTTGAAGGGCAAAGCTGTAGAAACCCAAGTTCAAGGTCAGCCTGGGCTAAATAATGAGACTACTATCTTTAAAAATCCAAAGGCTCGGTAGCTCAGAGATAGCTTGCCGAGCTTGTACAATGCCTTGGACTGATCCCTATCACCACCTTCAGGTTCTGTATATACACTGTATATGAACTGATCATAGTGGCACCTGCCTTGCAATCACAGCACTTGCGGATTAGGGCAAGAATACACATAGTGAGCCCCTTTTTTCAGAAAGAGGGGGCTGTGGATCAGTGGCAGAGTGCTTTCCTAGCATGCACGGGGCCCTGCATTGGAGTCCCAGCACAGGAGATGATGAGGAAGAACACAGATTTAACATTTACACACTCGACTCCATATGTTCCCCTAAGACCAAGATAACTTACTTTGTATGTGCAACTATTTTAGAGAATTATTTTTAATCTAAAATCTAAAGTACTTATGCTCCCAAGTATTTCAGATAATGAAATACTATGTATTTAGAGAAAGAGCTAGACACTTGGGGGAAAGAAAGAGATCAAGTAACTTCAAGAAGAAGAAAAAAAGTCAAAATGACTTCATGAATTTTGGCTTGAGAAACAGAGCATGGGGCTGCCTCGGCTGATTTGGGAAAGCCACAAGTAAAGGAGCTTATAGGGACAGGCAGGACTTCATTTGTGGACACTGGGTTAAAGAGCTATTGAACTTTCCAGTAAGGATGTCGAGCAAGCAGTAGAACGTGCCTATTTGTTTAGTGTTCAAGATGTAATGCTAAAGTCAAGGGGTAGCTCACTGGTAACATACACAAAAGCCCTAGGGAGGTGGATTCTGGAGAAAGTTAAAATCTGTGCCAAAAGAGAGCCAATATTAATTCAGTGGGGTTTTGTTTTTTAATTAAATTTATTTTTGTTCATGTTGTCTGTACATGATGCTTGAGAATGAACATGCACATGTGCCACAATGCTCACATAGAGGTCAGAGGACAACCTCCAAGAGTCCACACGCTTCTTCCAACATGGGCTCCAGGGATCAAGCTTGAGTTGTTAGCTTTACATGGTAATTTTGCCTACTTAAACCATCTTGCTGACCCAGTTCCAAATTGTCTATACCTAGCAGGACCAGATGAATTTGAGAGAAATTATTTTCATGAAGATGAACACAATAAGAAATGAAAGAAAGCTATGGACACACACACACTAGAGCTACAAGACATCTCCAATGAAATTTTTTGCAGTTCCATCCACAATGTGTAGTTAATTCAGATGAGCACTCTGTCAGCCCCAGAAGGATATATTTGCATTTTGAAGTAGCAGATTTTCTGAGGATTTCCCAATTGCTTCTCGTATTATTTCCTGCTATCTCTTTCTGCTTGCAAGCTACAATGGTGGGGGATTCTTTCAACTACATAAAAAAATAAAATAAAACAAATTCTGCAGGAAATTGCAACATGGAGAATTCCAAAAAGTTATCCACATGTGGACTTTTATTGGCCCTGATCTTACTTCAGAAGGAAATGACTATAACTTTGCCAAGCTGCTTAGCACAATTATGAAGGCTGGGGCACGCTGCTGGAATGATTTGCTGAGAGACTGGACTGATTACATGGTGTTTTATATGCATTACATTAAAGCCAGAGCACTTCTTAAAGCATGCTGAAAACTAAATGTGGAGCCAAGGTACACTGCATGACATCACTGGGATGTGCTCAGTCAGTGTCTAAGAGGTGAAAAGGGACCCTAGAGAATCCTCCTGTTCTTTGGTTTACTGCAAGGACCAGTAAGCCACATAGAGCCGCTTATTCAGGACCCCATGGTAGAACTGTGTCACAAACCCACCTTTGGTTTTCTGAATATATGCATAGGTTCATGTATGTGCATAGGTGTGCATATTTATAGAGTACAAGTACATATGTTTGTGCATACACATGAGTGATGGAGGACAACCTTAGGTATCATCCTTATGAATACTGTCAACTGTATTTGAGACAGGGTCTCCCATTGTCTCACTAATTAGACTAAACTGGCTGGTCAATGAGCCCTAGAGTTCCTCTGGTCTCCACGCCACATGATACCCAGCATCTTTACAAAAGGTCCTGGGGATTGAACTAAGACCCTCAATCTTGCAATGCAAGCACTTTCCTGATTGAGCTATCTTCCCAGTCTAAATCCACTTTTTCCGACATCCAAGTCAGTGAGTGTGTCTTTATCAACAGGTGGCTACTTCCATGTGTCATATAGACTTAAGAATTATTTATTTCCCATATCCCTTTGCAGGGTTTTTTCCGAAGAACTATCCGATTGAAGCTTATTTATGATAGGTGTGACCTTAACTGCCGGATCCACAAAAAAAGTAGAAATAAATGTCAGTACTGTCGGTTTCAGAAGTGCCTCGCTGTGGGGATGTCTCACAATGGTAAGTGTACACTGAGAACCATGTATACACTTTGTCACCCTCATGGCCAATGCTAGGTCCAGGTCAGTAGGCACTAGGACAACTGATGGAAACAAGTACAATTTTTCTACTAAAAGGCAGGTCTTCAAAATCACCCTGATGAGAGCGTAGGCCAGCAACTGTCAGCTTTCAAATAGAGCCCTTCTTTGTTTGGCTGGGCACCTGTATCAACTGGAGAAAAGACTTAAACTTGGGGAAAGGATCTATGGAAAACTGTAATGGTTTAACACAAATGTAATGACAATCATGGTTTTTATTATGCTTTAAAGTCTTTTTAAAAAACAGTTTAAAAGCTAAATTATACTAATATGCATTGGTCATTTCTGCCCACTTTTAAAAAAAATACTGAGTGTCTCTGAGAATATTAGAATTAAGTAGCATATCAGAATTTGGGCCCATGTATTTTCTTGTTGTTCTTTACCATGCAAAGATGAGTACAGCACTATCCTTGACTTCAGAAAATGCACAGACTTGTAGAAGAAAGTCACAAGTACTTTTAATTGCCACATCACAAGTGGGAATTAAATTCAAACTTACAGGGTGTAGCCATGTGAAGGAGCATTTGTATAGTACATATGAAATCCTGGGGTTCCATCCCCAACATTAAGAAAAAATGACTTTGTTGGCTTCAGAAACATAGTAGAGAAGACCCATGTGTTCATGAGCTGTAGCACTCACTCATCATAATCATAGAAGATTTGTGCCTGCTAAAAACAAGTTTTTCATTACCATTTGGTTCAGATCAGTTGACTTGCCCACAAAACTAATTTTAGCTGTAACTTAATAGTGTTATGTTTGTCAAGTCTTATTAGTCAATTCTTTTAAAAAAATCCTATGGCTTCAAGAACTAATATATACTAAAGTTATCAAATGAAGTCTGAAATTTTATTTCATTTGATATCCAATTTTTCCCTCCCTTCCTCCATCCCTGTCTCCCTCCTTCCTTCCTTCCTTCCTTCTTCCTCTTTTCTTTCTCTCATGCAGGAGTTCAGAACCAGGGCCTTGTACATACTAAGTATGCACTTCACCACTGAGCTATGAGCTACAGCTCCAATCTTTGTTTTCTTTTGCTTTCATCTCTCAAAAAACTGATCTGGTAAGAAGATAATCTTTGAACTTGGTGTTCATCTATGTGGACTCTAATATATCTGTAGAGATTAAATTTGTGTCCCATAATGAAGATGTTTGTGTCTCACAGTGGGAACCACCAAGCTCTTGTCAATGATCAATTGGTTGACACTCTACCCTTTGAAAGCAGTAAAAGCTTTAGTTGTCATTATGGGCCAGTTCCTTTAAAAGCAAGAGTACATTATGAATAGAGCTATCAACAGCACTGGACAGGAAGGGAATTTGGTCCAACTTCCCTCAACATTTGACCACATCTGCTTTGTAGCAGTGTACAACTGCAGTCATTGATTGCAAAATAATTTGCTGGTTTAAGTCCATCAATTTTCTTTTTATTTCAAACCTCATAAAACATACAAGCAAGTTTTTAAGCCAAGAGCTTTATTTTAGTTGATGCAATCAAGTTGCAGCAAACTTATTTCATCTTTATGAAGAAATCATTGACTTTGAGGTCATTATCATCAAGATAGTCTTGGAAAGCATGCCAATAATGCTTTTAATGCTATTTAGGTTTTGCCTATTTAAAAAAATGTCATTTATCACATTCATATAAAATATATTTCTTAGTACTTACAGGCAATACAACATTGATGTAAAATATATTTCCTGTGATTTACAAGTAAGCATACCGCAGGGCGGTGGTGGTGCATGCCTTTAATCCCAGCATTTGGGAGGCCGAGGCAAGCGGATCTCTGTGAATTCAAGACCAGCCTAGTCTACAAGAGCTAGTTCCAGGACAGTCTCCAAAGCTACAGAGAAACCCTGTCTCGAGAAAACAAAAAGCAAAAAACAACAAACAAAAAAAACAAGCAAGCATACCTCACATGAAATGTATCTCCAATTGTTTATCATTTTAAGGTAAATAATATTTAAATTATATGCAAGGAGTGTAGCTCAGTACAGAGCTCAGCATGCACAAGACCCCAAAATCCATTCCCAATACCCTTCTTTCCACAAATTGAACTTATATAATATGGATAGTATAATTTTCTTCACCCAGAAAAAATCAAAGAAAGCTACCATGCAGTTGATAATAAAGTCATCATTTGACTTTATTTAACAGTTAACTTGCACTCAGGAAGCAGAGGCAGGCAAATCTCTGAATTTGAGTTCACCTAGGTCTACACACCAAGTTCTAGGCCAGCATGGCAACATAGTGAGATCCTGTCTCAAAAACAGATAAGTAAGTAAACAAAAAAGTCCATTTCACGTACTCTACCTATTGGGGGACAATCTGAACAGTGTATTCAATTTGTTCTTGCAAAAGTAAGGACCAGTGGTAATTAAATACTATAATTCCAGAGACCTAAGCAGCTCAACCATTAAAGGACTTAAAGATGACTAACAAAACTCCTTCTCAGAGACTTTTAGAGAAGTGTGTTTGCTGAACAATAGAGTAAGCAACCATATAGTCCATACATGGGAAGGGAATCTGCATTGGGCTTTAATCGAGTCCTGATGAGGAAACATTTCTAAATTTAACATTTTCTGAGTGGTTGTGGTCACACTAGACAATGTGAGCTACCAGGATGAGGCTTTTTAAGTCACCAGAGGAGACATCTTGTGCATTCTACCTGAATATCATTAGCATGGAGCTATTTTCACTGTACATAAGAATGAACATTCCCCACAGCCAACCTGCCCCAATATGTGTTGCTTTATTTTTAATTTTTATTTTATCTGTTTTATTTGGAGACAAGGTGTAGATGGAGTTTTCTGTCCCACTGACCAGCTCCAAAATAACCACACTGAGACTTATTATTAATTATAAATGTTTGACCAATAGCTTAGGCTTGTTTTTAGCTAGCTCTTACAACTTAAATTAACTGATTTCTGTTTATTTTCTTGCTGCCACATGGCTCATGGCTTTTTACCTAATTCTGTACACATCCTGCTTTCTCTACATTTGGCTCAAAACTCCTCAGACTCTTCCCTTTTTCTTCCCAGCATCTTCCTAGTCTGGTTCTCCCACCCAATCTCTTCCTGCATAGCTATAGACCAGTCAGGTCTTCATTAACCAATGAAAGTAACACATATTTACAGTGTACAAAGATTGTTCCCACAGCAACAAGGTCTCACCATGTAGCCCAGTTTGACCTGTATCTCATGATCCTCCTGTCTCATCTTCCCACTTGTAGGCATGTGCCACCACCCCCAGATTCTATGTAACTTTCTTCCTGTTCTTTACCTCTGTTTAATCCACTTAATGTGTTTAGATTCTTTAATAGCAATGCCCTTGTTGCTTTAAAGGGAGATTCTGAAGTGACCTTCAAGGAACCAAAAAGCCTTGGAAAATAATTCTAAAAGTCACCAAAGCCAGTGATCACTAAGTCCTTTCAGAGTTGACAATTACCCCGTTATTTATAATGAAAAACATAATTCATTGACTTCTTCCCTTTTCAGCCAGCTAGTCCTTACATTTTACTAGACAATGTTAGAGTCTTCCAAAAACATGTGAGGATCTATATGTCAGTTACCTGAATTTGACGTTTCCACCTATATTTTTTGGTGCCATAAAGACATAATCTGTGTGCCTGAACCAAGTCTGTGTCATCAGTTTAAGGCACTTAGCATAATGGTTGTATGATGATGCAAGGCAAGAGTAAAAACCTAAAGCAGTCATCCTGAAAAAGTACACATGATCCATTTCAATTTTCTATCATTAAAGGTTGAGCCAGGGTGGTGGTACATACTTGTAACTCCAGACTCAAGAAGCTGAGGCAGAAGGATTGCCATGAGTTCAAACTCAGCCCTGGCTCCAGAGTGAAACCCTGTAAACAAACAAGAAAAAACAAAACAAAACAAAACCAACAACCAAACTAAAGAGTTTTAGCTCATAGCTTTGGGGTTTTAACCCATGGTTATTTGTCCCTGTTGCCTATAGTGAAACAGCTCATCCTTGACAGAGTGAAAAAGAGAAGAGCTGAGGTAACACAGTCCCCTCCAAAGAAACACCCTTGAGGACCTGGAGACTTCCCAGCTCCCAAGGGCAGTCACACTTGAAAACTTGGGTCTTTGAGAGACACTATAGACCCAGATGACAGACTATGGCTGACGCTCTTCAGGTAGAACTTGCAGCTCTGTTGTGCCACAGACTAGATGCTGCTGAAAGACACACCTTTAGAAACTTCCTTGCTGGGAACAAGGTTGTTTCTCAAATGCCCATCTCCAGCGTGGACTAGAAAAACACTAGAGGTTTTCCTATAAATAATAGGGAGAAGCATGTGTTCCAATTATTTTGATCTTTTAATAATCCATCATTTTCTGGACTATAAGCAGTCCCACAGATTGCTTAGACATCTTTTATATCACTAGACACAATCAATCTGATGCCCTGTCTAGAGCACTCAGAATGGAAGTACTAACACATATGAGCCTAGCTCCTAGGGTACACATAACTTGTGAGATAACTACTGTTCATGTAGGAAGCTGGCTCGACCATTGAGAAAAATGCTTTCAAGGCTTCTTCAGTCAAATGGGCACTTGCACATATTTCTTTACCTTTTAAAACCATAATTTCTATTGGAAATTCCTGCTATCACATCCCTAGTGTTTGCCATATTTAAAAATATGTCTTCATTTTTAGTAAAAAACAAGTTAGTCAAAGTATTTTGAAGAGTGAATATTTCTTAGTCAGAGCTACTTTTTACATATAAACTAAATAACTACGTTTAGGGTAAATACATTTTTAAAAATAGTTTGAAGTAGAAAAGAATTGGCTTATGCTACTAATGAGTCATTTGGTCAGGTTTTCCCTATAACATTGAAATTTGATAATAATGTTTTTAGTATGTTTAAAAGTTAGTGAAAGCTTTGCTGATCAGGATGTCCTATGA